TACCTCAATAGAAATGACCTTTTTCGCAAAAAAAATTTGTAACGCCACTGTGACCGTGCCTTCAGCTCGCCAAAACGAAAGATAAAATGGTTAACCTTGTCTTCATCGTTTCCGCCTGTGCTCCAGAGAACACAAAAGTCATGGAACCAAAACCGAGAAACGAAAATAGGAGTCAGCCATCAGGCATCGAAAAACGACACCAGTCCCTTCGGAGTGGTACTGGTATAGCCAGCACCTCGAAACAATAAGAATTACTTGAAAAACGTACCTACTAGTTGTCAAGTTGAATGACAGTGACGTTTACTTGGAACATGTTAGAAGAATGTCAACAAACAATAAATATATTTAAATTTATTAGGACTTATGAAAGTTAAAATAGATGACCAAAAGAAATAAAGAATTAGAATAGTATGCCCTTTAAAGGTAGGTAACACGATTAAACCATGGCATTTATAATTGAAATACTATTAATTTATTTGTGATAAAAATGACTAAACCAATGGTATTTGTAACTGAAATACTATTTAATTTATTTGTGATAAGACTAAACCAATGGTATTTATAACTGAAATACTATTTAATTAATTTGTGATAAAAAGACATGCTTTTATTCTTAAAATTTAGTAAAAATCTTAAACGATAATCCATAAAAATTTACTATATCTCACGTTCATTTAAATATGATTATTTTCAGCACATATGAACGTTACAAGCTTTCTGTTGGTTTTGTTAAATGTGTATGTACGTCGAAATTTATAGAACATATTGGACAAACATAAAACACATTTGATGACTCTATGGGCACTGATATATCGTGTTTTCTGCTATCGCATTGCTTGTGTATCCATCTTTGACAAATATCGCATTTCATCCAAGTAATAATATTTTTAGGAACCTCAAATTTTCCACAAATTGTACAAAATTCCAAGACGCTAGCTGACTATTTTAATAACATATTTTTAAGTACATATGAATATTCCTTGAAAACTACAAGATTTATCTCGGTGATGTCTAAAATATTATCTGTAAGCACATCTAAAATGTTTAAAATTAAGAAGCCACTGTGAAAAGGAGTAATAATTTTTTGGTGTTTTATGAACTTAATTTTTCAATTATATTTATCTATGGTTTTTCCATGTTTATAGGAATAATTTTTAATTTCGTTATATTTAAAAAAAAAAACTATAAATTGTACTAAGGTTTCTTGGCTTTCTACAACTGTGGTACCATACGGATTAACCAAGATACATGTCTTTGTCAGCAGATTGACTTTAACTAGCAACCACTTTTCGCCAAAACTCAGCAGAGGAATGAAGGTAATATTCTTAATATTGGTTGGTAGCTTTCCTAGTCCCATTTTTCTTTCCCATTCAAGAAATAATTTTTCAGCAGTCCAAATAATCACTTCAGAGCTGTCGATCAAATTCTTTTTAAATATAATCCCAGCCAAAATATTAAATAATTTAATACTTATTAATTTATTTTTGTCATCTGAATGATGCAATACTTTTTTGAGGATGCGAGTCTGTATTTGGAAATTCCATATTTTATTTCGATATGAACCTTTTCTACGTGTTGTCTAACTTTTCTAATGAATATAGTTGGTCTTAAATTTCTGCAACCATTTAAAATGTCGTATTTTAAAAAGCCAAACCACCTCTCTATTACTGCGTTGCTCAAACGACTGTTGTTAATTAGACCGGACCACAGTGGATAGAGCTCCATATATCTATCTAATATAGCTTCTAAATTTACAATATTATAAAAAGGATTATTTATAAATCCAACTAAATTTACATCAGAAACCTTATTGTATTATATATGTTAAGAAAATATTTATAATAAGAGGACTTCTTCATATTTTTTTAAACCTTCTTCTTTTATGATTTGTGTGGGACTCTTCAATTGTTACAACATTCACTTTTCCAAAATATGAGAAAGTTTGTTCGACCGACTCATTTTTATATTTTGAACTTAAAATAATTGTTAAGTTCTTAAGCCATTCTGCTGCATTAGATAAGGAATTCATATTAAAACCTAGAGCTACCATTGACTTAATTCCATTTGCAATATGTTTATCGGATTGATTTACATTTTATTTAACCAGTATCGAAATATTTTTGATCAAATGAGCACAGCAAAGAGCTAACTTAACATATTTTGTTTTTGACGCTTCAAAACAGATTTCTAAATATTGGCTTAGATCTAAATTATTAAACGCCTTGCAAGCAGCATTAATGTTAGCAAAACTTAGATCAGCTACAAAAGTATTAAAAAGTATTAGTTTTGTAATTTTTTTTAAATCTAATGAAAAGGTTTAATATTGTGGTGGTATCGTGCTCATTGGCCATCATCTCAAAAATGGGACACATGGTATTTTCAGGAAGGTCGATAATGCCACTATAATACAATATTCTTTTTCCTTTACTTTCTCGAATTACTCCTCCTGTGGCATCAAAATGTAATAAACCATTTTGCGAACCTTTTGCAATTTTCAGTTGCTCATTACTAAATATTTTTATGTTTAGTGGGAAACAAACTTGATTTATAAATGACCTTTGTTCTCTAGCATATATAATGGCATCTAATAAATCTTTATAACGAACACTTTTGTTGCGAAGCCTCCGAACGGATTTTTCTCAATATTGACTCTGATTTTATGTATTGCAAATTTCATCGTTGGATTTGAGATTTATTTGATTTTTTTATTGTCTTTCATGTGATTTTATATCCTTTAAAACATTTTTTGCTATGTCCTTTTCTATACCCTTAACTTGGTCAGTTATTTTTTCATAATGATTATAATTTAAAGACGAACTATATACCTTGGCAAACTTTTCTCCTTTATCATGATAATGAGAACGATAATATATAAATTTAAAAATATAAGAGATTATCTACAACCACATCAACTTAAAATATTATACCATAGCCAGTGATCTCGAGTAGAGTCCTGACTTCTCTGGGTCCCTCTGAATGATGTCCGAGTAGAGTCTGGGAAATGGTTGAATAGAGTCCGAAGCTCATTATCTCAGGTAGCCATATAAATAGTAATAAATGCAGGCAGCAGAATTATTTAATTTTTTTTTAAATTATACTTTTTAAGGAAATATGGTAATAAAGTAACCCAGATAGATAAAAAATATATTTATTAATTATACAAGCGCCTTAAAATATTTATATTATAAAATAAAAGTGATTTATTTTTTATTTACACAAAATTCAAAATTAGGGTGTTCCGAAAACTTTTTTTACATTTTAAATCGATTCCCAACTACCTTAATAAATTCCAAGTTTGTTATATCCCGATTTTTTAATTGGCATATCTTGTCATCCAAAAATTGTTTGTTTTCTATAGTTTTGCAGAGTATATTTTCATTTCATTTTGTTGCGCTGTCCCAATCTTTATAATTGTATTACTTTGAAAATCTATTAAAATTGTAATAAATTGAAAAATATGAGGATGTGAATGGTAAAATAACGAATTAAACCGTGAATGAAAACTTTCGCAGGCATTTGTAGTTCTTTTTACACTACTTGTATTTTCAGCTCATATGTATCGTGGAAATTTGGACGATTCTGTTATATAAGTATCTACAAGATAATCTGCAAATAACGTAAGTTGATAATTGCTGGGTTGAGAAGCAATCAAATCAATAGCAAAACAATCACCAACATCTGCTGAAATAGAAATGGCAAACCAAAACAGTTTCTCAAAAATTTTCCAACTTTCGAATCCTTATCCTTGTATGCAGTAGTAAGGCCAAGTTGTTGTATTTTTCGCCACCTGAAAAGTGCATGTTGCATTTAGTCAACTACAGCATTGAAATATATTTTTTTTAGGGTTGGCCAAAATTTCGCACGCTCTTAGGAGTGGTCATAATTTTTTACAACTTTTATAAAGGGTAATTTGCTCTAAAAAATGTTTATGAAACCACCCTTATAGCGCAATTCGTACCAGGAGTTTGAGTGTAATATTTTGTTTAGATACTCAGCCCAAGCAACATTGAAAAAAATCATACTGTTTTTATATTTTTGCGATCATCTATAGTATGCCTGAAAAAGTTGGCAACATATGAGAAACTTTTTTATTTGTAATTTTACGAAAAAAAGTTATTCTTTATAAAAATTTGTGCGTGGCTCATAAAGTAAAACGCAAATGTCAGATGTAAATTTTTTAAATCGTATACAAGGTTTATCAAAAAATATGAATTTGGTACCTTCATTTTTTACAATATCGAAAACTTTATTGATTATTTATTTCTCGAAAGCTTGTAATAGAATGACTTTTGGCAAGAGAAATGTCATTGTCAGAGCCACCTAGATTTTAAATTATTTTTGTGTATTACAGTAGAAAATACATTATTCTGTTGCATTACTTATTTATTACTGATTTAAGTTTATTGCTAAATTATTTCAAATTAACAAATAAACATTTGAGGTGTGTTAACTTGTTAAATAATTTAAAAAATTACGTGTTTTGTAACTAAAATTTGCAAAATTTAAGTTGAAATTGAAGTGGTCATAATATTCATATTAATCTTTTGCAATTTGTGGGCACCCTGTAGATCTAATGTCAAAGGTAAATACCTGAATATTATTATTTTCGAAAGCAGAGATTTTCATAAAGAATAACTTTTTTTCGTAAAACTTACAATAAAATAGTTTCCCATATAATTCCAGCTTTTTCAGATATACTGTATAAAAGCCTAGCACAACTTTATTAAACTGTTATTAAAATATTTATCAATAACTTACCATGATTGACCCAAATGAAATCTACATCCAACCATACGTGTCTTCTCCCAAGTTTCTAGTACACTTTGGTGGACTGCCTCTTCAAAATCTGCCACTACTGTTGTTGGTGCCAACATTTTGACATTCTTGTGTTGCATACATTAATGCCTACATATAACTTTTCTTTTGTTTATTTGGAAGTACGAAAAAGACTAGAGGTACATAATGATCGCCTGGTAATTCGTGAATGGAGAACATTAGAAGAAAAAATTTAGTGCAGTAATTGAATGTCCCATCCACATATATGGATTTCAAACTGCACAACAACTCTAAATTCCTTTTCGATAAGAAAATAATTATATTGTTTTCTGTGTTGTAAACTACACAGAGAACAATATAAGAAGAAAAGTTTCGCCCCGATTTGTCATAACAGGATAGGAATTAAGAACGTTGTGAACTTCTCGTTGAGTTGTTGGTAGTTTTGGTAGAAAGCTCCTTCGAGAGTGGTATATATTGTTTCTTATACATTTGACATCGCAATTAGTCAATGTTTCGACATCTCCCTTCCTCAGTTCTCGGTGAATGAATTTTAAAGGTATCTCACTTAAATCTTCTGAAGCTTTTCTTTTCAAAGAATTACTCACTTCATTCCTGTTAAAAAAAATTTCATCAAGTGGCGGGTGGTTATGGTTATCAACAACTGCAATTATATTTGTTTTCCCCTCTGTCTTCAAATGGGTCGTACACTTTTTATTTCCACTTACCGAACACACCCAACGTTTGATACCACCAGTTAGTTCTTTATGAAAACGATATTTATATATATATATATATATAAGAAGCTCCTTTCCTTTCTCGCTAAGTATACACTTTAATGCACTCATAATTTAATCTAATTCACTTGTCGGTTTGTAAACTAAACTAAAACGGTAATAAACAAATGCATAATTTAATATTTTTATTTTCGGGAATGTAGAAGGGGACCAATCAATATGTACTTTTCATGTTCACAAACAAATAGGTAGTTCTTGAAATATATATTAATAATAGATAATACTAAATAGTTAAATTCGCAATCTAGGTAGTTAATCCTTTAATGATATAATCTGATCCCGGACTCTACTCAGCCATTTAAATTTTTGACCGATATTATATCAGGTACCATAGCTTAGTAGAAAGTCATTTAAGATATGCCATCATTGTGTGGAGTTGTACTTTACAAACACATTTACAACCACTTGAAGGTCTGCAAAAAAGATTTTTAAAAATAATGCTCAAAAGACCCTACAGGTGTCCTTCTAACTCATTGTTTGTTGAGACAAATGTTATGGATCTAAAACAATTTTTTTATTATATTAATATTAAATTTCATACAAATAAACAACTATTCAACTTACCAGATCATCCATATAGCACAAGGAAAAAAAATCTCCATACTGTGCCTCGTACTCAGAAATCAGTAGGACAACGATCGTAAAATGTAATACCTTGTACATATTTAAAAATAATTTAAAATTTTTTATCAAAAATGAGAAAATTGAGGTAACAAATAATATTCTTTCAATTAACTGATATTTATTTGCGTTTTGTATGATCTATCTTTTTAATTAAATGTAGGTATTTTGATTGTATTTGTCTCCTATATAAAATATTATCTAAAATGTATATTTTTTTTTCTGTAATGCATTAATTTTATTTTGTATGTATATATTTGTTTATATTTATATTTTTTTATATTTATATTTGTTCTCAAAACAAGTACCTTATTGGCATTTATTGAGTAAATATTTATTTATGTATTTATTTATTTGAAATTGTTATTCTATTACTTTGTAACTTGTGTTATTCTTGAATAAATATTATTATTATTATTATTATTATTATTATTATCATCATTATTAATTTAAATTTTAAAGTTTTTACAATTGCGTGAATTGTTTAGTAGTAATTTTTTATTGACATAATTTTTTCTAGCAATATTGTAAGTATTATTGACGTACTTCCTGATCTGGGACCTAAAAAAAAGGATATACTTTAGTCCATTTTTTGTAATATTTTCCCATTGATCTGCTTTAATTTTGAAATTGCCCTCCAAGACATTACAAACGGAATAATTGGTACGTTTTAAAGAATTGATACTAGGGTATTCGTTTATACTACCTTTTGGCAAACATTGCGAAATAAAAGGCTGGTCAGAAATATTTAAATTTAGTACAGATATTGACGAATCTGTTAAATTTCTTATTGGCCCAATTCGATATTTTTTAATTAAAACTCTCATCAGATTTGGCTACTTCATTCTTGAAAATGTCTACATTATTTAAATTGACAATATTAGCAAAAAATATAGAATTGGGTTCATATTGGTCGGTTTTATTTAAGGTTTCTGTAAGAGCAATATGATTGTCACCTTTCATAGCAAATAATTGTTTTATGTTTCTACAGTTTGATATATACAGTATTTTTTATTTTTCTTTAATTTGGCTTCGTGAATGTTATCTACTAATGAATCATAAAATTGATCCGTGAAATAAATAGACTACAATTCCGAGTAAGTAATATTACCTTTCAATGATTTAATTTTATTCGTTAATTTCTTTAATTTTTTGTCCATTTTATAAAGTACAAATATTTTAGATAACAATCATACTTTTACTTATTTAAAAAAATATAATGAAAGACGTCTCATTTGTGTAAAAAAAAATGTTATAGAATTTCTATCAGATTCTGAGAAATTATTTATATAGTTTTACCACTTTTGGACCATATCGAAAATATAATTCAAAGAATTAATTCTTTTTTAAATACCATGTTGATTTTGAATGATTTACACGAGAAATCATAGCATATGCGCATTTTACGTTTTATGAACAAGTATTATATCAAAATTATATACTTATAAATACTACAATTATTTAAAACAAAATTATGAATTTATTTATTTTTTGTAGTTGCCGTCCACTACAATAATATATAATATGGTTATGGTTGCCGAATAAATAGTCTTTTATTTAGTTTTAGGCATAAGTTAATTTAGGAATATTTGAAACTAAGCAAAGTTATTTTGGCATTTTAACACAAGGCCCTATTCATAATAAATTTGAAGAACAAACATTTTCTTAATTTCCTTCCTATTTTAAACAAAGAAAAAATGGTGCCGGATATTAAATATTCCACTTGCAAGATTAATTTGATCAAGAATCAATTAAAAACACTAATCGTACAAGAGGTGGTAAATTGGCTTGTCCTTTGGCACCCTTAAAACCTAAATTAACTTCGCTAACTAACCAAATACTAAATTTTAATAAAACATCAAAATTTTTATGACAGTCTTTTATCCAATGAAAAAAACAACGATTAGATAATGGATATTTAAATTAAATTAATGAAACTCGAGTTTACCTCTGAGAAAGAAAAATCTTCATTTAATTAATACACAACAGAAAAGTAACATTTTCAAATTAAGGAAAGCCGTAATTAATCTAAAACGTCATTAAAAATGCAGTCAAATTTTCAGAATCAAAGTTATTTCAAGGCTCGATCCTGCAGGCATGATATTTTAAAAAAATACTACATCTAATTATATTATTTATATTATAAGAAGGACCCCAAACTTATAGTTTTATAGTACATATTATAGTTGTAAAGTATAGTTCTGTAGTATAGTTTAGAGTATAGTTTTATAGTTGTAAAGTATAGTTTTATAGTATAGTTTTGTAGTATAGTTTTATAGCATAATTGTATTGTATAGTTTTATAGTATAGATTTATAGTATAGTTTTATAGTATAATTTTATTGTATAGTATAGTTTTATAGCATAATTGTATAGTATAGTTTTATAGTATAGATTTATAGTATAGTTGTATAGTATAATTTTATAATATAATTTTAATTTTTTTTTGTAAAACCACCTTACAATCACTTTTAAGATCCGTGCCATTTGTAACAGGCTCAAGGAAAGTTTTCCTAAAATGAAGCAAATTGTTTCTTATTGTTTGACGAAATATCTCTTGCAGAACTAACTTTGGATATAGCTAGTAATACTAGATCTTGGTAACAATTTAAGAATGAAATTATAAATAGCTAATTAGGCATAGAATTATAAAGAGTGGTATTAAATATCATGGCAACTGTTTGTGATCTGTAGAATACAAATCGAAGAGTATAGAAACAATAACGAGCAGATAGTAACATTAAAAAACCTGGTCCTTATTTCGTTGTTTGGAAAAAGGATTCTTTTGTTTATGTGAGTTCTTTTGTTTAATAGATAAAATAAAGATGCAGTTAAACCAAATACATTTTAATTTAATCCAAACAGGGTTTGAAACTTCTTATTAAAAATCCAACGGCAAATCTGGGAATTTTCTATCATTTATTTTTACACTAACGAAAAAAATATCATATAGTAACGAAATAGATTTATTATGGTCGGTTCAGCCCGTGATTCTAGCAATAATCAAAGCATTAAATTACCCACTATAAAATAACTTACATTTAATGTAAATTCCAATGAAAGACTCGGCTTTAGAGAAACTTTTAAGACTTTGACTCGTAGTCACAGTGATATTATTAACACTCAAAAATTATTTAATTCGAAATTGGCCGCAGGTGCCAAAGTTTTAGAAATAATCGAAAATTTAAAACTAGTGAAAATTACCTCAGTGAAACGTTCTGTGTAAAAAGCACCCAAGTGCAAAGAATATAATACCGTTGGCCTTATTTAACTAAAGGGGTCAAATTTAAAAACTCAAATGGGTATAAGTTTCATAATTTTTACTATCTGCAACTTAGGTTAAATTATTTTTAAATTATAAGGCCTAACTTTACTTAGGCATCTTTTATTTTTACAGGTAATAAGTAAAATAGGCCTATGTAAAATATAGATTTGAAGATCTGGGATAGTAAATAATAGTAAATAAAATTGTACTGCAGTGGTTTGGAGGTTATAAAATCCCATTCAGGTCCTAAATCCAGCTATCAAAGTAGTTTCTGTTTTAGAATTTACAATATTAAATACAGAAATTTATAAATTGTTATCAATAGGTGCAATACGATAATGAAATCCTGAAAAAGGACAGTTTTTATCTACATACTGAATTCTGAGTTGTCTACCGGTGGCTAACCTAGCAACAGCGTTGTCAGCCTAACCTCTGCCACCTGTCAGTGGTGCGACTCGGCATGTGACACAGCTAAAGCCGGGTTTTCCTAGCAACGCACATTTAACGCAGCGTAGAACGTAATACGGCCGACGCAACGCAATATCCAACGCGTTGCGTAAAAGTGTTTTCCTAGGATTGTCAGTTGCGTCCTGATCATCGCGATGAGTGGGTCAAATAATTGTAAAAAGAAATTAGCTTTGGCACTTTTAATACTGCAAGATGAAATTTTGCAAGAAGAAATTGACATTATAACCACGATTCATAATAGCACTAGAAATTCTGCTGATCATTTATTTCAAAACAGAAGCAGCGAAGGAGCATTTAAATTACTTATCCATAGACACCTGCTCGACGACGAAGTAAAATTTACAGCATATTTTCGAGTTACAAGGCAGCAATTCTCGTTTCTCCTCGATCTTGTGAAAGAAGATTTAAATATAGAACCATGTAATCGTGTGCGACACCCTATTTCGCCAGCTGAAAAGCTTGCACTAACATTGAGGTAAATAATACGTTTGTTTTCAAATAATCAAACATTTATTTTTCAAAGCCATATATTTTTCAAAAATACTTTTTATTTAGATAGGTATAGATAATGTTCATAATTCATAGAATGAATTCGCATATAGTGCATTTTCAGATAAATTCATATTCGGTGTGAGTGAAGCCAGGGACATATTGGAAACAGATGAATGGTCTACATATGTGTGAGAGGACGAGTGAGAAGATAATGCTGAGCTAGGTCGAGTGTAACTTTCATTAAAGGAAGACATCCTGCTTGTTCTTGCTTTCTGATTTCTTAATTCAATTTCTGTTACCACATTAAAAATTTTCATTTTTGCCTCGATTACATCATCAGGTTGAAATTTTTTAACCGTAGCAGCTAGGCTTTTGAAAAGAAGATCAATTTCGTTTTCTTCACTGGACTCCATTAATTTGTCAACGTATTTCCCGAGTTG